GAAAAATTGATGCTTTTGAACTATGGTGTTGGAGAAGACTGTTGAGAGTCCCTTGGACTGCAAGGAGATCCAACCAGTCCATCCTAAAGGAGATCAGTCCTGGGTGTTCATTGAGATGGGCTGATGTTGAAGCTGAAACTCCAGTACTTTGGCCACCTGATGCAAAGAGCTGACTCATTTGAAAAGACCCTGATGCTGGGAAAGATTGAAGGCAGGAGGAGAAGGGGACGACAGAGGATTAGGTGGTTAGATGGCATCACCGACTCAAATGGACATGGGTTTGGGTGGACTCCAGGAGTTGGTGATGGACACGGAGGCCTGGCGTGCTGCGGTACATGGGATCACAAAGAGTTGACTTGTCTGAGTGCCTGAACTGAACTGTTGATTTACAATGTTATGTTAATTTCTTTTGTAAAGCAAAGTGATTCGGTTATACATATACATTTATTCACTCTTTAAATTCTTTTCTCATATAGGTCATTAGAGAGTATTGAGTGGAGTGCCCTGTGCTATACAGTAGTCATTGCTAATTTTTATTTTACCTATAGTAGTGTTTATATTTCAACACTATATTATTGGGGATTGAATGTTGGAAATTGTGTTTAATATTGCAGGAAATTGTATTTAACAGTCCTTAGATGATTACATTTTCCTCTGGGAGGATTTCCTTTTGATTTTTGATTAGTTGTTAGATTGCACGTCCTCAGTCATATATGACCCTTTGCACTAGGCTCCTCTTTCCTTGGAATGTCTCAGGCCAGAATACTGGAGTGCTTTGCCAGTTCCTCCTCCAGGGGATATTCCTGACCTGGGACCTGAAGCTGCATCTTCTGTGTTTCCTTGTGTTGGCAGGTGTATTCTTTACCACTGAGCCACCTGGGAAGCCCAGTAGTTAGGTTAGGTGCTGATTATATTTAGACTGGGGTTTCCCAAGGAGCTCAAATGGTAAATAATTGACCTGCAATGCCAGAGACCTGTCTTCAATCTCTGGGTCAGGAAGATCTCTGGAGAACGGAACGGCAACCCACTCCAGTGTACTTGCCCGGAGAATCTCAAGGACAGAGCAACGGCTTCACAGAGTTGGACTTGACTGAGTGACTAACACACATATATTAAGACTGAGCTGATTCAAAGCTGGAGTTTTTAAAATCTCTGTTAGAGTTTGCCCTATTTACAGTTTGCCTCCTTTTAGCTAGCAGCCCTTCTAGGCCTTCTGAAAACTCAGTGTCTACTACATGAGTAGTCCACTTCCAATATGAGTCTGTGACCTACCATGAGTGTATTACATCTTTCTTTTTGGTTTTTTTTCTTCTCATTCTATGAGATTCTGAAAATTTTCTGTAGTTTTTTCACTGCTAGTTAATCTACATGCACCTAACCATGATGTTGTTCGACGGTCTGTTTTAATGTTTTGGGGAACAGGTCTTTTATCTGTTTCCTACAGAATAGTTCTCCTTCTGTAAGCCTGGGTAAACCACTAGGATCCCTCCACCTTTAAAGGTTATAAAATTCAATTTTTATTTCCCTAGTGCTTTAAAACTTATAACAGCTATATTTAGCTTCTCTCTTCCCCGCATGTGAATAGCAAATGTGTCAACAGGAAAAGTCATGCTGAACATCTTCTCTGGGATCCTGGCTCCTTAATCTTGGCTACCTTGGAAGCTCTCCAGTACCTTAAAAGATTAAAACATAAATTTAATCTAGCATTTTCAGGTGCTTTTGTTGGATAGTTAGTTTGATAAAAGCTAATCTGCTGTTACCAGAAAGATCACTCTTTGCTGTTATGTTTTTCATTTATTTAGTGTGAAATAATAGTCCTTCATTTGTTATGATGCCAGAAAAAGACAGTACAAGTTCCTCCCTCTCCCAAATAACAAAATACACCACCTTTGAGCAATGGAAAATCGTATGTTGTGCGGATGCATTTATTTATGTGTCAATGTTCATCTCTTCATAGGTTGCTTAGCCAAACAATGAAGGATCATCTAGTAAGAGTAGCAAATGAAGCTGAATTTATCCTGAGCAGGCAGCGAGCAGAGGATATTCACAGACACGCGGAGTTTGAGGTAGGTTAACCTCTGAGTGATCCGAGGAAGTTACCTTTTTAAAACGTTAATCATAGGAAACTGGGGGGGTAACATTGCAGCATGGTCTTAACAATCATGTGTCATGAAAAAATTAAAAATTTATTTGTGAGGGTATCATGGTGGATTCTGGAAAGATAGTGCAAGACTCTGTAGTCTTGGCCAGTAAAGTAGATTAGTGAACGACTCTTGCTCTTCTGTATGCAAAGTAGAGCTGGTTTACTGGAAATGAAAACCCGTGTGTTAGATGAAATCTTTCAGGTTTCTAGAGAGAAGCTGAACAGAGGCATGACGTTTCTTTACCCCTGAGGTTGCTGCAGAGGAGATGAAGGCGCGTACAGCTTTCTCCCTGACTCCTTACAGGGGGGTCAAGTGACAGAGCCATCCTGGGAACAGTGCTTGTCTCGGCACTTGCTCCTGGCTTTGTGGAACAAGCATGAAATCATAGAGAAAATTCATGGTCTTGTAGCTATATAAATTACAAAAATTCACACCTAAGGTGAACTAGAAAATTTTACAGGAACATTTGCTAAGAATTGGGGGAAAAAAAAGCGCAGCATCTGGGGTTCTTTCTAACATGTTAAGAACAGATAATTCAAATGTTTCTGATATTTTTCTGATACATTAAAAATAATGAAAACTTTTTCAGGTTCATTTCATATACCTATCATTACATGAGAAAAGACACTGGAAAAATAAAACTCCAGAAGACCAATTTTACTTAAGGACATGGGCACAAAATTCTAACATAATCCAACAGTGTAATGAAAGAACCATACAACTGACTCTTGAATAAACAGGTTTCAATTTTGTGGGTCCACTTATCTGCTAATATTTTTCAGTAGTCAGTACTAGAGTACCACACAGTCTGCAGTTAGAGGAAATGACAGATGTGGAGGAACCTTGGGTATGGAAGGTAAATTATATTTAACTCCATGTAGTTCAAGGGTCAGCTATATAGTGTGAACCCTTATAATTTATTCATGGACTCCAAAAATGGTTTGGACAATATTAAGGTATCTACCTACAAAATAAATCAACCAATTAAAAATTGGAAAATCATATGAAAATATCAATAAAGGTAGAAAAAAGCATATTATAAATTTTAGTATTCAGCCCTAATGAAGCTGTGGGAAAAATGTTCTTCAGAAAACAATTTAAATATAATGACCATTTGTTGTTTATTTGCCCAGTTGTGTGAAATTCTTTGCAACCCCTTGGACCTGACGTGCTAGACCTCCCTGTCCCTCACCATCTCCTAAAGTTTGCCCAAGTTGATGTCCATTGTGTCCATGATGCCATCCAGCCATATCATCCTCTGACGCCCTCTTCTCCTTCTGCCCTCAGTCTTTCCCAGCATCAGGGTCTTTTCCAGTGGGTTGGCTGTTCGCATCAGGTGACCAAAATGCTGGAGCTTTAGCTTCAGTCTTTCTAATGAGTATTAAGGGTTGATTTCCTTTAAGATTGACTAGTTTGATCTCCTTGATGTCCAAGGGAGTTTCAGGAGTCTTCTCCAGCACCACAGTTCTAAAACGTCTGTTCTTTGGCATTCTGCCTTCTTTATGGTCCAGCTCTCACAACTCTACATGACCAGTGGGAATCCCATCACCTTGACTATATGGATCTTTTTGGGCAGAGTAATGTCTCTGCTTTTCAACACAGTGTCTAGGTTTATCATAGCTTTCCTGCCAAGATCAATTGTCTTCTGATTTCATGGCTGCCTTCACCATCTGCAGTGATTTTAGAGCCCAGGAAGAGGAAATCTGTTACTGCTTCCACCTTTTCCCCTTCTATTTGCCATGAAGTGATGGGGCCAGATGCCATGATCTTAGTTTTTTAATATTTATTTTTAAGCCAGCTTTTTCACCCTCCTCCTTCACCCTGATCAAGAGTCTCTTTCATTCCTCTTTGCTTTCTGTCATTAGTGTCATATAATCCACATATCTGAAGTTGTTAATGTTGCTCCCGCCTATCTTGATGCCAGCTTGTAACTCATCCAGCCTGGCATTTCTCATGATGTGCTTAGCATATAGGGTAAACAAACAGGGTGACAGCAGACAGCCCTGTCTTACTCCTTTGTCAATTTTGATCCAATCAGTTGTTCCATACAGAGTTCTAACTGTTGCTTCTTAACCCACATACAGGTTTCTTAGGAGACAGGTGAGATGGTCTGGTATTCCCATCTCTTGAAGAGCTGTCTACAGTTTGTTATGATCCACACAGTCAAAGACTTTAGTGTAGTCAATGAAACAGAGGTAGATGTTTTTCTGGAATTCCCTTGCTTTCTCTATGATTCAGCGACTGTTGGCAATTTGATCTCTGGTTCCTCTTCCTTTTCTAAACCTAGCTTAGACATCTGGAAATTCTTGGTTCCCGTACTGCTGAAGCCTAGCATTCAAGGTTTTAAGCATGACCTTAAAGCATGGGAGATGAGCACAGTTGTCCAGTGGTTGGAGCATTCTTCAGTACTGCCTTCTCGGGAATTGGGATGAGCATTGACCTTTTCCACTCTTGAGGCCACTGCTGGGTCCTCCATGTTTGCTGCCATCTTTAATGTAACCCCTTGATGGCCTCATCCTTTCGGGGTCTGAATAGCTCTTCTGGAGCCCCACTGCATCCATTAGCTGTATTAACAGCGGTGCTTCCTAAGGCTCCCTTGACTTCTCTCTCCAGAGTGTCTGGGTGACTGACCACACCACCATAGTAATCTGCTTCATTAAAATCTTTTTTGTACAGTTCTTTCCATTTCTTCTTGATCTCTTTGGTGTCTTCTAGGTCACTACCATTTCTGTCCTTTATTGTGCCCATCTTTGAGCAAAATGTCCCCTTGATATTTCCAGTTTCCTGAAGAGAGCTCTGGTTTCCCCTTCTGTTGTTTCCTTCTGGTTTTATACACTGTTCATTAAGAAGGCCTTCTTGTGTCTCCATGCTGATCTCTGAAACTCTGCATTTGGGTGGATGTACCTTTCCCTTTCTCCCTTGCTTTTCACTTTTCTTCTTTCTTCAGCTATTTGTAAAGCCTCCTCCGATAACCACTTTGCCTTCTTGCTTTTCTTTTTCTTTGGGGATCGTTTTGTTTACTGCCATTTACTAAATATCATTTGAAATGTTTAAAGCTGTTTCTATTAAAATCAGGCAAAAAAAGAGTGATTGATACCTTCTGTTAATAATATTTAACAAAAACTTTTTGATATTCTTGCAAGTGCAAGATACTGTTAACATGAATGTTAGATAAGAAAGAAATAGCACTTTCAGGTCACTAATGCTATGATTTAGGAAAATCTAAGGGATTCTTGAACATTTTTCTACCAGAATTAAGTGGGACTTCATTAATTTTATTGGATATAAGATAAATATGCAAAAAATTAATAGATTATCTTTTGACCAGCAAGCAGTAGCCAGTTAAGAATGGAAAACAGAAATATAGTCTGTATACCGTTAAAAATTCTATGTTGGGTTGAATTCTCTAAAAAATAAACAGTTTTTTGTAACAAAAATATAAAATCTCGTTGATAAAAAAACTAAATATAAACTACTGGAGAGTCATTTCACACTGGGTGGTAAATCTTTCTCTGTGTGTGGTTGAGAGACATACAGTGACAGAGGTGTAGAATCCTTCTTTTATTTTGAAATAATTTGAGATTTACAGGAGAGAGATGAGTAGTACAAGAACTACTCTTCACCATTCTAAATTCTGCAGTTTTTTAAATTCACCACAGTTGCTTCTGTCCTCTTTTTCTTTTCTGAATTTGAGAATAAGTTGAAGCCATAATAAACTTTTACTTGTAATTACTTCACTGAGAATTTCCTATGCACATCCTTCATTGTCATCTTGTACACTTATCAAGTCAGAAAATTAATTGTTACAATGCTATTATTTAAATATAGACATTCATATTTCCCCAAATATTTTCATGTTTTTTATAATCCAAGAGATTATTGCCACAAAATTTTTTCAAATTAATATGTAAATTCAATAAAGTAATATTAGCATATCATTCCATTAGAATAACAGAGTATTTAAAATTTAAATATCCCTTAAAAGATATCTAAACATCAAAAAACTTCCCCATATTATATTTGGATATGTAAATATCCAGTTATATTTATAAAAGGTTTTATAAAGATTATATATTTATATTTATAAAAGAAATGCATGAATATATCATTGAGAGTTATGAAATAAGAATGTTGAGGATATACTTGACTTCCCAGATAAACAACACTAATTAAAACAATACTATAAAAAAAATACAAAAATTTTTCCAAGTGGAGTAAAGATATATAAGATGAAAGATGACCTAGTTAATATTTTAGAAAAATATTTGGAAAACTGCAAAAGTGGAACTGAAGCATATGCAAGAATTCTATAACCAAGACAGGTCACTTTAGAAAGAATAGAATGTTTAGAAAGAATAGAATAGGAAAAATGTTTATTACTACATTTAATGTTAAGTTGAGGAAACATGCAATCAGTCATGTGGGAGGACATGATGGAATATGGAAAGACTGATAAATCAACATTTACTATCTTAATTGTTGTTGTTTAGTTTCTGAGTTGTATCCAACCATTTTACTACTCCATGGAGACTGTAGTCTGCTAGGCTCCTCTTGAGATTTCCTAGGCAAGGATATTGGACTGGGTTGCCATTTCCTTCTCCAGGGAATCTTCTTAACCCAGGGATTGAATCCACGTCTCCTGCATCGGCGGGTGAATCTTTACCACTGAGCCACCTAGGAAGCCTTACTGCCTTAATAATTCTCATGAAGTGATAAGTGAAAAGTTGACCCAATAGGCACATGTTCAGAGGATATGAATAGGGTTTTCACAGAAGAATGTAAGTTACCAGTAACATATAAAATGATAATCGGATCATTGTATGTTTACAAAAACATTCAAGGAAATGTAAATGAGATTAATCATGATATCACTTCTCTAGTCTCTGACTAAGAGAAAGTAAGAGTCATAGCTAGTACTGTTG